CTTCTTAGTCAAGGAAATGACAAAAGACTACTATTGACTTCATTAAGTCTTCATCAAGTAGAAATGATCTTCTGGTATATTTTAAATTCCTGAGTTTTCAGGAAAAATATAAGAAGGGGCATTTTCTTTTGATCTTGTGATAAACTCACAGTAAATGAAATTGCCCCTTTGCAAAGCACAAGCTCTTTAGAAAGCCATTGACTGATGTGGTTCGTGTATGTTAATACAATATTTCATAGAGCTGAATAATTCTTGAAAGAAATCTTTGGCGTTTAAGGAAATAAATTACATAGGATGCATTTGGTTGATAGGACAACCACATGGGACAAGTTTCTATATTGAAGGGAATTTACTGCATTATGTACCTGAAAAACCTAATTCAGGCAGAGATCTGACCACAGAGATTAGCAGCTCAGTGACATCACCAGGAAGTCACGCTGCCTCTGCTGCTCTTACCCATGATATCAACTTCATCCTAACACACTTCATCCTAGAATGCTTTTACAGTCTCAGAATAGCTGCCAAAGGTTTCTGGGGCTAAGTGCTTCCTAATTCACATCCTACAGGGAATGATTATTTATGACCCAGAAGTCTCGACAGAAACCTTGACAGTTAATTACACTGCTGAAAACAAATGTCAATAGCCAGTCACTAGGAGAACTGGTTGTGCTGGTTGGGATGTGCTGGTTGGTTTAGGGAACAGAACCACATTCCTCTAGAGCTGAGAGTAGGATTAGCACCCCAGGGTGCCATGGAAGTGAAAGCCATAAAAAGGTGAAGAGAAGGCATTAGGTGATGGGGAGATAATAATTTAGGGGTGATCTTGTGACAGGGTAGTTTTAATTACAGACCTCTTTTCCAAGGAATTGAACGCTTTTTCTGAATTGAAGATATCTATCTTATTAAAGAACAATCACTGAGTTTATTGACAGGAGAAAGCCCATAAAAAAGGTAGGGGTAGGAGATACCCAGCTGAAAACTCCATTCTAACCATGAAAATTTCTGTTCAGATATTGTGTGTACTACAGAGGAATTGGAAATCGGCTTTGTAAATAAAAGAAACAGAGCCCTTTTTGAAATTTTTCCTCAGAAATGAATACATTTTATTTTAAAAGCACTTTCGTCTAAGTATCAAAAATCACTCTTGAATTGTTTCATCTGTTTTTGACAGACTTAAATCTTAGCCTCATAATGAAGTGTCAAAATGAAATGGCTGGGAAAGTAATGACTGCAATTTTGCCAATGGTTTCTTTGCACCTTTGAGTGAGTCACTGCTCCTTAGCAAAGCAGTAAAAAGAGAGAAGCATGGCTAAAAATTAATAAAGGATTCTGGCAGATTGGCTCAGTCTTGGACTTAATCATATCTACCCTTCCCACTCATTCCTAACACTTTTTTTTTAAGGTTTATTTATTTATTCATACAGAACTGGGGTACAAGCCAGAGTGCAGGGGCGGTGAGAGGCTTCACCAGAGACAGAGTGGGGAGCAGAACACACAGACTGACTACGAACACAGCTGAGGGGAGCAGCAGGTGAGACAGGAGAGGTCTGCTGTGCCATGTGGATCACCTCTGGGGTCATAATCAAACTCGCACTAGCCTGCAGTGCTGCATCCTAACCCATTGCACCACCAGGGAGGGCCCCCTACACCTTTTTTATGCCCTCTAAAACATGGGCACACTGTAGTAAAAAATGTTAGAGACAATTACATAAGTAAATACAACTTGTTCAATCCTATTCTTCTGGAGTTGACAGGTATACGTTTGTTTCTGTAACAAATTCCTTAGAATAAATTGAATTTGCAACTTCTCATGAAATCCATAGGGATTTGAGTTTGCTCTCTCCACAAAAGCAATCAGCTATTTCTAAGTATGAAAAGGGAGAAAAGCTATTCACAGTACTTCTCAAATACAAGATTGGGCAATGATATTTTACTGAGCAAGGCACAATTATTAAAACATACTATCTTGAAAAAAAAAAACACAGAAACAACTGCTCAATGTGATGAACCCCCAAATGCCTATTGTCATTAACATATAGGTAGGTTGCATACCAATGAGTAGGTGCTTTTTTTCTCCCCTCAACTCTGATTACACAGTCCTTCAGGAAGTTGTCCTTTCTTTTCTGTTGTTCACCGATTTTCCCACCTAGTCCTTGAAGTTTTTTCTCATACCCTCCCTGTGGGCTCCTACAGCAATTACGTACTCAAGTGACCTGGCACTGATCATATGCCATCTTAAGCTGCTATGTTGGGCTGCTTCTTCAAGTTGCTATGTCTCATCTTCCCAAGCACATTATGAGCAACTCAGAAACGTTGTGTCTTTTTCATTTCCTGGTATGTAATTAAGTGACTTGAGTTAGACTGATTTTTTTCTCATATTCTCCCTAAGGAAGCCTGGTAGTTCATGCTGCTTTCTCGTGATTGTTTATCTGCAAAACCACTTCTCCAGCAGTGGAATTATGGGGAAAGGTTCCCTTCCTGTATTTTCTGAGCTACAGGGATGTGTCCATTGAGGACTTTCTCCAAATGGGAGTTTGCAGAACTCTCATTATTCAGAGAAAGAATTAAAGTTCTTGCATTCTGATTTTTGTTTGGTAACCAGTGGCAGCACTTAGTACTTATAGTCCACTAAGCACATTTTTCTGTGCTCATTTGTGAAGGGGTTCTCATACCGCTTCAGTGGTCTCAACTCCAGGATAACAGCTGTAAGACCACAAGACTGTGTTCATGATAAAATTTGATCGCCAGCAACTTTGCAGGCAACTTTCCTCTGACTCACTAAGTATTTGGTACATGAGAAAATAAATTGGCTCTTGGTACGCAAACTAAGAATGGGTACAATTTTCTGGGGATTATTACTAAGGGTTTGTAGGATTAAATTCCTAGTGCAAATATCTATCTTGGTATATATTGCCCAAATGCAATTATTTGCTTTCCACCGAATAACTTTGTTTTGTCTGTGCCTGAAAATGAAATGTTTCAAGGCTATTTTTAAATATAACCAAATTAAGGACTTTCAAAATGAGAAATTTAATAGAAAATTAGACTGAGGAATTGTTCGTTGTCATCTTTATTCAATATTTATCTTTAAAGTTGAATCTACCTATAGATTTTAGTTATATATCTATTTTGCCAACACATCAAACTCAAAGTTTTCCAAGTAAAATAACATCTAGTTCCCAAACTTAATTCTCTTTCTGAGTTCTAGATTTCCAACACCTTTTTGAATCTCTTAGATTCAAAGTTACAGTAACACTCAAATCCTCTTAACTGATCTGCATTCCTTATCACTTTCTAAATCTGGTAGATTCTACCCTTCCAGTCTCTCATAGTGGCGTTCATCACTACAGTCCTACCTCACCTATACCTTTAATACTTCACTAGAGCCATGCAACAGTGCAACCATTCCTAAACCAGGTATTAAGGGGTCTTCCCTATTAGGCCTTTTCAGAATGGTAAACCCCTAATTTTGTTCCCTTGCATTTAAAGTTTCCCCTGTCTGGAAGTTCATATAATCTTTCCACAGGAAATCCTCTAAAATCACCCTAATCAAATATGCCTTCTTGACTCTCTACAGTATTTGGGCATTTCTCATCCTGCATTCCTTACAGTTATTTATGAACCTGATATACTTCTGTCTTCTCTGAGACATCATCTCTTGGGGGCTGAAAACATGATTAAGTCTTCCCTACAGGTCCTGCGCTCATTGCACTACCTTGCATAAGGAAGAACTCAATACACGAAAGAAACATAGATGAAATATTGTTGGTATGCTGAAGTGGCTTGATCTCTTTGTGGTAGTCAGTTGATCCTCAGTCATGCTTCTAGATTGAGTAACTATACATTGTCATGTTTGTTCTACATTTATCTTTCTAGTGTTTTGCTGACATAGCAGACTTAGCCCATATTACCTATGTTGTCTGTAATTAAGACAAATTAAAACCATGGTGGCTAAAACAAATTAAAACTATGGTGGGGAGGAGTCATAACTTTTTTAAAAAGCATATTGATACTATAAAACAAAGGAGGGGTAGAATGGATGCTGAAGAGTAAGCCATAGCTATAAATATGGCCTGGCATTACTGTTCAAACAATGAAGACAATTGACTTCTTCAGTTTAGAAACTATGCTTTTTCTAAAACAAGATTTGTAAAGGACTTGTATGTTTACTTAGTGAGATTTGTGACAAACAGGTGCTAACAGAGCTACAACAGCATCATCACCAGTTGATGAAATGGTGATTTAACGTAGAACGTAAGTTTTACAAAATCAGGGTCAGATTGTCCTCAGTGGTCTATTCTTGAGGTTTAATAGAGGATCTGGAACCCTACTCACTGTTCAAAAAAATTCTGCTTGAATAAACAAGCATAAAATAACTTTCATTAAATGATGAAAACACTTGTTTCTAGAACACTTGTACTAGAATAAATCATTACACTGAAGAGGAGTGCTGGACATGCCAGATTAATTTATCTATAAAAGGAATTAAAAACATTTTTATAGTACAAAATGTTTTATAGAACATTTTTATATACCCCAATAAACAAAACTATTTAATAAAATGTTATTATGCTCCAAGTTAATGATGATCTATCACCTTGGCAAATGATTATGATAACATATAGTTAAGTAAAGATACAGCAATCTTTAATATTCTAAACAGGTAGGACTCAAATCCCTTTCAATTGTCCATATAAATATAGGTACACATACCAGCTTATATGAAAGTTGAACATTTGAAACCTTTATTTTGCTTTTATCTGGCAGCTGGAGCTGCAAATGAAATACTTTGTTCTCGTGAGGTCCCCTATCAGCAGCAACTTTAGACATTCCCATATAAGCACTGCACAATATAAATGGCCAACCAAACAAAATGTGGTCTCTAAATTTCCCTGCAGTTTGATAATAAAGAGAAAAGGGATTAAGCAGAAGCTTTATCCCCTCTGAGACATCATCTCTCTGCAAACTTTCTGGAAATGTGGCCCAGCTGTCTCACTGACCTTCCAGGACACTGGTACTTCCCACTTCCAAATGCCATGAAGCAGTCCAAGAAAGCATGCTTCTCTAAATTTGCCTTTTTCCAACGTTCCTGTGGGAAGAAAGCAATTTTTTTTTTCCTCCAAATCGGCCTTATATAAATAAGCTTAACTTTATTTCTCTAGGCTAAAAATGACTTTGTACAGCTAATCCTTGCATATAAAGTTGCAGGATTGTTGGTAATATTTTCCAACCTGTTATTAACATTAGACACAACAGTGCTTTTGGAATTTGAACTAATAAATAAAAAGGTTTAAGAAGAATTCTGTTAAGTGGTAAATGTAATTGATAATGTAAATCTACCAGAGAATTGACCTCAGAAGAGGAAGAATATTTATAATAACTTCTCAGGGTCCATCAAAAAATTGCCCTTGGTAATAAATTTAGTAATGAGACACTGACAGCTCCGCCATTAGAGAAAGCTTGAGAGGCAGAGTGAATACATCTGAATGTCATTTTTGACAGGTTTATAACTAAAGACAGAGAATGGACTTAATGACCTCTTAAGATTCTGCTCAACCCTATTAACCCCAATTTTAAGAAACAGCAGAGCGCAGTTTTCATTTACCTTATTGTGAGTTTTTGGGTACTCCTTGGAAACCAGTACAGGAAAAATTATCTAACGAACCTAAAATAAGCCTATCAGAAGCAGGGACATTTAATGCGCTCTGCTGGTTTCAGATTTAAAAATTATTTTAAAGTGGAAGCTAATTCTAATAACTTTTCTATCTGATTTGTAAATGTTATACTATTTATGTTGCAAGTTGAATTTGTACCTTGCCTCTAGAATTTGGTTCTTAGTTGCTGCAGAAATACAACTGAGAAATGGCAAAGTCCTCGCTCCTCCCTAATTTATGAATCCATACTCCTGACAGAAAGACAAAAGAACAATGTATAAAGAAAGAGATAACTTACAGGTTTGAATGTTTCTGGTTCAGGAAAATACTTTGGATTTCTATGTAGCCAAAATGGAGACAACATCAGCAAATCACCAGAAGGTACAGTATAATCCTATGGTAGAAAAATCAGTACCAAGTTATTTTATTTGGAATCTGCTTCAAAGAAAGTTTGGGTCACAAAAGTAATGCTATAACTACAATATATTGTAGAGAAGATGTATCTATTTTATAACCAGTGGAGAGAAAATCTAAGTCATTCATGCACAGATCATTTCCAGCTTAAGCAATGAGTGCTTTTTAATTCCTATGATTTGCTTGTCTCCCATATGTGGGAGAAAATAATAGATAAATGTGATCATTTTAGAAGTATAAGCCCATTCTAAAGTAGCTTTTGATATCTGACACTGGGTTTATTCCAATTATTCTTTTATTTTTTAAGATTTATTTATTTATGTATACAGAACTGGGGTACAAGTCAGAGGTGCAGGGGTGGTGAAAGGCTTCACCAGAGATAGAGTGGAGAGCAGAACAGGCAGATCAATGAAGTACACTACTGAGGGGAGCAGTGGATGGGTCAGGAGAGGTCTGCCGTGCCATGTGGATCACCTCCGGGGTGGGGGATGAACTCGTACTGAACAGCTGTGGCCGGCTTGCAGTGCTTCGTCCTAACCCATTGCACCACCAGGGAGGGTCCCCAATTGTTCTTACTGATAGAAACCAGTGTGGACCTGCGGGTTGCAAAATTTAAACACTGAGACAAGACACTGGTCATAAGAGCACTGAGGATAAGGTTAGTGGGTATCCTGCCCTCAGACATGCACACCTTGTCAGGGCAGGAGCAGGGGGCTACTTTGCTCATTCCAGCAGCAGCTGTTAGAACAGGAGGGATATAAAGACAACCGGTTAAGAAGACATAGGAAAAAACAACTTGGGGAAGTTCTTTGATTTTGTTTGAGGTAGCGGTTGTGGGTTTGAGGACAAGCGTGGCTTCTCAAGTAGCAAAGTCTGTATGATCTTTCTCCTTTCATACTATAATAGGTTTTCATGACATATCAACTATACCAAAAACTAAAAAGCATTTCATAAAAATCACTTTTATATCACTATGTTCAGGAATGATAGATCTTCCACTTTATAGTTGTTGATATGTTTACATGATAGCTTTATATTTTATTAGTGTTTCCCATTATCAACAATTAGAGGCCGGCTCAATTGACCTTTGCATGATTCTGAAATGCCCTCAAGATATTTGAGTTTATATACCTAGAACGCCAGCATTATACAATTAAAAAATTACCTTTTTATAGTAGCCCTGAGTAGAGCACAGGAAGGGGTCATCATCTTTAAACCAGGAGAACCTTAGTGGTTCCAATGAGGCTGAAATTGCTTGAGGTTTGGTAATTTTAGTACCTTGAGAGCAGTTGAGAATCAGATACAAAACTTGGAACAAAAGAAGCTTTTTCTGGTGCCCTCTTACCACTTTTAAAGTAGAAAGAGACATGTGAATCCCAGTTCCATCTGTTCATTTTAGCTCTGCTGGAACCAGGGCTGAAGAGGTTGTGGTTGACTAATGGCAGCTGCAGAGAACCCTGGTGTATGTTTGGGACCAGGACTGGGGGTACCCTGGGACAAGCCTCCAGTCAGGGCAACTGTTACCCTTCACTGCCCACTCCTTGGTCCTCACTCATGACTATTGACTTAGATCATGACTTGGAGGTTGCTGAATGTTACAACCAACAAAGCAGCTAAGAGAGGAAGGCTTCACATGTCAGTAACAGAATTAACATTAGCAACAGGGAGGAGGCCAGAAAAGAAATTCTTGTGGTAGGAGCAAAGGCCAGGCTGACGAGTGGTTATAGGGATGTTGCTGGTTGTATCAAAGGAAACCTCTGAGCAAATGGACATCATCAGGCCCAGTCTAAACCATCTCTGCCATTGTTTACATGACAGATGAAGAAAGCATCAAGAGAGAGACAAAACACTGAAAGGATCAGAACACAAATCACTAGCAAAGGGAAACACAACTCCTTTGTGTGGCAATGATGGCATCTCTCAGTACAGGGAGTCAAACCTGGCTGGTTCATTCAAGGAAATATTGTAGAGGCCCATGATCTTCACCTGCTAGTCTGGAGAGGTGGCTTTTTTGAAGAGGGGAGAGAAATCAGGATTCGCTGTTATAACTCAAAAGGGAAGTTGAGAGCAAAGTGAATGCAAGGAATGTAGAATTCTGAAGAGAAAAAAAGAGTCCTATACAGACAAAAAGCCTATCAAGGAAAGTCCATAGCATTCACTGTCATTTTTACTTCTTGGCCAGGAGCTTGATGGTTATTACTTGCCAAAAAATAAAAATACTTAAAAAATTAAAGAATATAATCTCTAGCATGATTAAAAAAAAAGGCTCCCTATTTAAATTTTGGAAAATTCTGAAAAAGAGAAAAAGCTAGAAAAAAGAAATAAAGAAATCAGTAAATGTAATCCAGTGTGTTAACAGGTTAAAAAAGTGTATGCTACATCAATTTATGCAAAAAAAGTCAATACAAATTCATGATCAAATCTCAGCAAATGAAAGGGAAATTCTTCAACCTGACAACATCTATTAAAACATTCACTTAACATCATACTGCATTGTGAAAGTAAGATGAAGAACAAGGCAAAGCTAATTGCTATTACCACTATTTTTTAACATAGTTTAGAAGTTAGACCCAGTGAAAGGAAAAGGAAATAAAAGGCATATTGGTAGGGGAACAATTAATTAAAATATTGTCTACACATAAACTTATTAGAAATCTACAAAAAGGCACCTAAAACTAAAACGTGGATTTAACAAAGTTGCATACATAATATCAGCACACTAACACAACTGTATTTTTACAAACAAGTAGGGTACAACTGGGACCCAAAATAAAATAATATACCACTTACAAGAGCTCCAACATTACTGAAGTATGTAAGACTAAATCTAATAAAACTATATGGGTTCTGTATACTTAAAGTAAAAATCAAGATAGACACTGGCAAAGAAATAACTATTCTGTAATTCAGTTAATTATGTACTAAACAGAATATAAGCAAGCCTTTTACAAAGCCCAATAAAAAATATAGTAAATTTTGTAGTAATAAGCATATTACTCTACCTATTGAAACAAGTTAGACTATTTCCTCAGAAAGTATATCCTTTAAAACTAATAGTTTAGAGTAATTGAAGTGATAATATCACTAAAACTAAAAGCTATCATTTATGTAAGAAAGTTCAATAAATTATGTCTCCTTTAGATTTAGCAAGTTGTTACTTCTATGAAATTTGTGGTTTGGGGTCTGTTTTGTGTTTTACTTGGTTTGAATCCAAGTACTTTGAAGCTGTGTATAGAAAAAGGGAAGCAAGTGTGGAAGGCTGACCTAATGTGATCTTGCTGGATAATACAGGCCATGAGTCAAATTACTCTGTTCTGCCTCACTGAGTCACCAATTATTGAACTGAAAACCAACCATATGCACATTGGATACTTGAGAATTTTCTCCTACTTTGTCCATAAAAAGAAACTCTCTCCCCCATTCAGCCATTAATATCAGTTTTTTTTTTTTTTTTTTTGCTATTTTGCAGTTATTCGCTAGTATCAGTTACTATGAGATACCTACTATCTATTTTTGCATCTGTCATTGGTGGCCTGAAATTATCTTCCAGTTTTCTACAGAACATTCCCCCTAGCCCACATCAAGAAGAAATATGTGTTGTTTGGTTAAGCAATGATGAGACTCTCCAGTCTACCAGCTTGACATACATAGTTATTCTAATTCTGATGGAAGATCACATAGTTCAAATGATTGTTAAAGTCATACACTTTACTTGCAATAGTGACTAGGTGATAAATATGCATTTGATCAAAGGTACGGTACAACTCTTACTTGTAACCTGTTTCAAGATTAGTGTTTAGTGAAACTCAAGGAATTATCGAATAATATATGGACAAAACATTTGGGCAGTATATAAGAATGATTATTTTAAAGCCAAAACAAAGCTCACCAAAATTTTAACCGGTGTTAACACTTTTCTAGTAATGACACCAGGGGCTCTTAAACGAATGGTTTCCAAAATACACCATTTAATCAGAAGGAGTTTCTTCAAATCATCTTCAGATACTTCAATCTTCTCTTTACCTTTAAAGATTAAAAAAAAAATTAAAAGATGGACTTAAAAGGCAAGAAAGTTATTTCATATAAGCTCATCAAAATAAGACATGGCTTCTGACAGCATTAATACTACTTTTTGATACCAAAAATAATACCCTCTTTTATAATTTTTCCCTTATCCATATAACACATATGTCATAAAGGTAGTTTAAGTAAAAAAATGAGAAAGTATTATATGAAAATGACCTTAAACAATTCAGTTTTTCAATTTGGTTTTGACAGTATTTGCTTAGTAAAAGATAGAATGTTGTTCATTTAATTAAGGCAAATTTCACATTCACAGCTGAACTATATTGGGGACAAGTGGAATGTCAGGGACTCCACTCACATCCTTCTTTGACTTTGGGTGAAACTCATAAAGCAAGACCATTCTGCAGGGGAGGTCTAGCTGCCTGAGATGCCTTATCTGTCAGTACATATGGGATTCCTGAGGAGTAAGATGCTAACATCATTGCATTGTTATAGTGGAGTCTGGGAAATGGGTTTTGATTTCTGGCTCTTTTAAATGATAGGGGTACCTATGCAAGCCACCATTCAACTTGACAGATGTTGAACATCTAGTTAAGAACCAGGAATTGAGTTGCACTCTACCAGGCATTTTTGCAAGACACTTGGTCTAGAAAGAAGAGACAAACACGTTAACTGACAAACCATTTAGGCAAAAAAATTATTCTGTAAAAAGTCAAATATTCTAATAATCAGGGAAATTTCATATTGAACACGAGGAGAAGCAAAATGATCTAGAAATATTTTTCTCTAAAATGGTAACTTTAATTAGTTTGTTGCACAGAACAGGCTTCTATCTATCTATGTTCTAAACATATTATTAAGTGATTTGGTTTCAACATGGGGAGATGACTGAGTGGATAGTCCATACAAAAGAAAAGGAAGACCCGAAATGAAATCTGCAGAAATCATTGTATTTTCAGAAAAAGGAAATGGTTTTAGTTTGCCCCGGGGAGGAATAAATGCAAAGGACTAGGAAAAGATTCACTTATGCTATATTAGAGATAGTCCTCACTGTCATTCTGAGAAATGTGGACAATAAAGAATTTGGAAGATTCTTGCCTGGAGCCTAAGAAGGGTGAACATTTCAACAATGAAATGGTGGTATGTAAGAACTCCTGCTTCTTTGCTCACACATAAGCAACCTAATTTTACGAGACAAATGACAGGAAAGGCTATTTTTTTTTTTTTTTAACCTTTACAGATACTGTCCTACAAAACATTTACTTTTTTTTTTTTTTTAACAAGGATTGGGACATGATAGGTGTTCTTTTGCACCTTCATAATCTAAATACAATCACACATTACTTAAAGACAGTTCAGTCAATAATTGAACAGTTATATGATGGCCAGTCCCAGCAGGTTGTGTAATTACATTCTTTGACATTCATACAAGATGAAATTACCTAATGACACTTTCTCAGAAAATTTCCTAGTTGTTAGGTGACACATGACTGCATCACAGTTTTGCCAAATTGTTTTCAGTGAAACATTTGCAAATGTTTAAAGGATGGTTTAAACCAAATATGGAAAGTATTAAGATGCTACTGGTGTTCCACTGGATACATCAGCATAGTACAGGCTTCGAGAAATCCTGTGGATAGAGACAACTGTTTATTCCAATTTTCCAAAGCTTTGTGAACATGGAATCTCTCATGTCCTCTCCCATAAGCATACAAACATCATCATTAGCCATTTAAAGAGGACACAAAAGATAACTAGCTGATGATGGATCATTTCTATAGCAACTGGTTTTTTTTAAAAAAAAAAAAATCAAACTCTGGTTTAAACCTGTGCAAACATTACCAGAACATACCAATGTTATGCATGTGATCTAATCTTTTGCTAAGTAGCATTTTTGATTCAAAGGAATTATTGCCAACAGAAAAATACCTCAACATGCCATGAAAAATCTAGTGGCAGCAAAATTTTACTTCCTTCACATTAAAAATTCTTTACTTCAAAGAAAGAGACTGAGAATTTTTTATATACAACAGAAATGGTTGCTAAATCAACTAAAAAGGCATTTATTTGGCCTTTTGTGGAGAGTAAAGTGCTAAGCATTACAAGGAATACCAGAATTTTAGGAGGTAAGGCTCTTAATACTTAAAAACACAATAAATTCTAAAACTAAAAAGGTAAATGCCTCACCCAGACAGCATTGAAGTAATAAATTCTAATATTCCAATTTATGAATTAGTTAATGAATGACACACACACTTAGAGTAGCATCTAACATATGGTAGGTGTTTAGCACCAGGTGGTGTTTATTATTATTCTGATTACAACTAGTGTGAATTTAGTAATGACTCTAGAAATGATAACTCCCTTATCTACTTTTGCTCCATAGATAATTAAATTATCCTTTTTCCTGAAACCTTTGTTGAAAGAAAAGTTACAGATTGGGACTATATCCAATACTAATTGGATACCAGGTCTGGGGAATTTTTTCAATCAGTATTTGTTGAGAATCTCTCAGCAGGGGACAAGTGTGGAGTACAAAGATGAATGGATGATTCTGGCTCTTAAGGAGCGTACATGGACTGATAGAGGAAATGAAGAACTCAAAGTAGATGACTTCTGAAATTGTTATCACATTAAATGTGATGTGGGGCACAGAGGTGACAGTGACTAGATTGAGGGGGAGGGACATGTCAGAGAGGCTTCTCAGAAGAAGTGAAATCTGAACCAAGGATTAGATACACCAAAGTATTTGCTTACTAAAAATCAGCAACATTGCCCATTTAATGAAGCCAGTTTACATTGAGAAAATAGGACCATGGTTTTTTGGAACACAGTCTAGCATAGAAGGTGAGGGGATCATGGTGCTTCACTGAAGTTTCGGTCTGTACACAGCAGCTGAAAGCAGGGCTGATGACGGAAAGCTCTTTTATCCAAGCCTTGAATGTGCCCTGTGAACACCCACGTTCAGTCATGAGTCTTCCTCCTTTTTCTGTCTACACGCACTCTCTAGAATGTTAAAACAGATCTTGTCCATAAATTACTATCAATATAATTTCTACTCCCTTCCTTGATCCCTGAACTCTAGTTTATTTTTTGTTTGTTTATTTTATTGGCTTCTTGATAGCTCTGCTCACATATCTAAATGGCATCTATATCAAAGCCCTCCCTTAGTCAACAGATAACATAGAACTTTTCACTTTGCCACTAAAATAGTCTTTCTTCCCTTGGTTTTCCTGTCACAGAAAATGGTAGCAACATTGCCCATTTGCTAAGGTCAAAACTTTTCAAAAAATGATCCATAATTCATCCCTTTTTCTTTTGATCAGTACACTAAATCAGATTCACTGTTTGTTTCTATAAGTGAAGTGTTATTGGAACATGGCGTCATTCAATTGTCTTCATGTCATCTATGGCTGTTTTCACATTACTGGCAACAGTCACTTTTTTCCATGAAGCCTAAAAATTTACTATGAAGCTTAAAAATATATTATCTGGCTTTATACAGATAAAGCTTGTCAATCTCTGACTAAGAGGAAGGAAGGGGACAAGGTGTTGTTTTGATCCTCACTGTACCTACTATTATGCAAAAGTTCAGGTTTTATCCCAGTGTTTGAATTTTACATATACCATGAGTTCTGCGTGGGCTTCATCACACATGTCTTTTATATAACCAGATCAAGTGGTCAGTGACTTAGTACAGTATCAATGTAGGCTATTTTGCATGAAAAATACAAAGTATATCCTCAGGAAAGGAAATAACTTTGTTGGAATACACACTGCTAACATGGTCTTCGGATAACATACACAAACCAGAGGGCATGTGGAAAGGATAATTCCAAGGAAACCAATTTCCTGATCCTTAACCTCTACATTTATTCTTTTGTGAAGTGGTCTACTTCAAAAAAGACCACAGTGAATGTCTCTCCCTACCTCCTTAACAGCCATTCCTCACTTCATAATGAGAAGTTTGCCTTTCAGCCAGTTTGACATTTACTCTGGCGCATTTCCCCTAAGGTACACAAATCTGGTGGGTGCCAAACAAAAGGGTAATTAGAGAATGTACAGTACCTAGAAGAGAGGCGCTTGAAAGGAAAACGCCCATGCAAAATAAATGTTTTCTTTAAAGAAAAGAAATATTGAAAGCAGACATGGCTTATTTTCTTTATTTGTCTACCAGCCCTTGCACATGACAGTATATATGTCCCCATATTTGTCAATTTACCCATCTTAGAATTTAAAAATGAGATCAGTGCCATTGCAACACATAATAACACGTCTATTTGAATTGAAAAAGTTAAACAGATTTTTTTTCTGTTAGAAAACAAGACAGATTGCTTGCTGATAAATTTGATAAACACTGATTTTGGGAGTAGACTATGTATGTGGATACCATTTTCAATAACTAAATAAGCAGTCTATCTTTGCTATTTATATATTTTAAATAGACAAAAGGCCTATGAATAATGTACCAGCAATGATCTTCCTTTTCAATTACTGAAATGCAGGATAACAAGTTTTACACAACAAATTCAAAATACTTAAGGGGGATCCATAATTCCTTTCTTTTTTAGAGTATACTTAAGTGGAGGGGGAAAAAAAGAAAAGGCAGGAAAGAGAAAAGAAAACTACTTCTAAAGGCATATATCAAAAGCTGAAATACTGTGGTGACACACAGATAACTGGGGGAGGGTTAGCAGTGGGGGAGGGTAAGCAGGCCTCCTTGGGGAGGTAGAGAAAGGAAACTGGAAATTCTGGCATCTTCCAGGTAAGTAAAACAAGACTGGAGATCTCAAGAGGAGAGAGGGCTCTCCATGTTGGCGCAACAGGTTAAAACACCACATTATGAAGCTCTCCGAAGCCACTGCAGCACAAGTTGTATTCCCAGCCAGGAAGCTGACCCACATAGTGTGACAGACCTCTCCTGACCCATCCTCTGCTCCCCTCAGCAGTGAGCAGTGTATTTCAATAGGTCTGCCTGTTCCTCTTTCCACTCTGTC